TGAATATATCCGTGATAGGGTTGGTGTAGCTCCTGTGACGGACAAAATTAGAGAAAGTCGTCTTAGATGGTTTGGTCACATTAAACGTCGACCATCTGATGATCCGATTAGGAGAGTAGATGTTTTAGATTCGACTTGTGTTAAGAAAGACAGAGGTTGATCTAGGAAGACTTGGGCTTATTATATTAAAAATGATCTTGATTTACTAGAATTAAATGAAAATATGACATTAAATAGGACGTAATGGAGAAAAAAGATTCATGTAGCCGACCCCACGTAGTGGGATTAAGGCTTTGTTGTTGTTGATATATTTATCTTATCATTCTCATTTTTCTCAATTTTCAATAATTGGGATGGTTTGTTCTCAAATGATGTTTGAATGATTAAATTTTTTGTCAACTCCTTGAATTCTCAAACCAACTTTCTTTACAAGGGACCATTCAGTAATTGTTATCTATTTTGTATGATTGAGGAATTAAATTGGGATTAATTCTGTGTTTTAATTTTTACACCAAGGGACCTTTTTTGATTAATATCAACTAGTCATTAGCTATTGTTTCAAATTAAATAAATTAAACATATTGAATCTTGTGCGTGCATGCGTATGCGTGCGCGCGCGCGCGCCGGGGTGGGGGTGGTGGATGTTCAATGCACACACATTATTTGCAGTTTTTTTTTTTGCTTATTTGAATGTTCCTAATAAGTTTGCATATCTTAAGTGGATTTTTTTTTTGATTTTTAGTATGTATTTCATCGTAATCATCATTATTATTAGCTTTGTTCCAACTATTTGTGGTTGAATTTGTGGATCTTTGTTTTTTCGTACGATTCTATTGAGCATTGCTTGAAGTGGTACCCTAATCTTCGCAAATCCTTTTGCATAATTTACATACATGCCATACAAATCTTATTTAGTTTGTTATTTAGATTTATAATTAAACATAAAAAATGCATCTGTACTGATCTTGAAGATATCTAACGATCAAGAAGAGAAGAGTGCGATGAAAATGGGCCCACTATCAAGAGATCGTGGGAGCCACCTGACCAAATGAGCCAAACCAACCAAACAAAAATCGATTGAATCACAAGGCGAACAAGAAGATGACTCAATGACCCAAGCACGAGCCATTCGATTGAAAACTAGATGAAAGTGCATCCAAGCCAACCGTTACAGAAAAGCAGATTCTTTGCGGCAGCTTACCCCACAATAGAGCAAATCTAAAGGAAGATCAAGTTGAATAAAGTTTCTGAAGCTCCTCATCAGGGATTGAGGATTGTGAACAAAGTTGGATTAGCCCACCTGGCCATACCGACCAAATTCAGCTGACCGAGCTGACCGAGCTGACCTCGAGTCTGCTAAGCTTTGCTGGCCGAACAATAATGCATCCAGACGACAAGTCTATACATGTAAATTACCAGAAATATCATAGTACAAGCCCTTTCCTAACAGGGGTAAAAAAAATGTAATGTCATCATTGTACCATCTGCTTTATAAATAGTGAAAATATTTTATGAAATAGACACTATTCATTACTATTCCTTACTTTATATATAGCTCCCATTTATGCTCCATTCTTTGGGTGTGATTCACGGACAACCTTAGATTCAATGTCATAAAAGGTGCAGTGAGCATGGATCATTCCCTTATTATCACAGCATTGATTTCAAGAATTAAGAGAATTGAAGAACTAAAATATGTACATCAAAAAGACATCTGCATTGATCTTAAAAAGATCCAACAACCAAAAAGAAAAGAATACGATAAAGTAAGTCCACTGTCAGGAGATCGTGGGAGCCACCTGATCGAATGAGCCAAGCCAACCAGGCCAAAACCGACTGAACCATGAGGTGAACAAGATGATGACTGAATGACCCAAACACGAGCCATCCGATTGAAGACTGGATGAAAGAGCATCCGAGCCAACCGCTATATGAAAACAAATTTGATGCGGTAGCTTGCTCCCCAGTAGTGCCAATCCAAACAAAGTTTCGGTTTCATAAAGTATCTTAAGCTCATCATCAAAGATTGAGGATAGCCAACCAAGTTGGATCAGCTGTCTGGGCCATACCGACCAATTTCAGTTGACCAAGTTAACCTTAAGTCAGATAAACATAGTTGACCAAACAATAAAACGACCAAGTTAACTTTAAGTCAGATAAGCATAGTTGACCAAACAATAAAACAGCCAAACGGTAAGACCATACATGTAAAATATTAGAAATGTCCTAGTACAAACCCTTTACTAACAGGGGTAAAAAATCTAATATCATCATTGTACCATCTCCCTTATAAATAGAAGAAATATTTTATGAAATAGATACTATTCATGACTGTTCATTACTCTCTCGCTCTCGCTCTCTCTCTCTCTTGTGCTCTATTCCTTGGGTGTGATTTGTGGACAATCTCTGATTCGACAATAATATTTTTGTGTTATAAACCTATGCATAAGAAGATGTATTTCACTTTTATGAAGTTTTAAGAGTGGTATTTTTTTTGATGTGATGTTAAAGATTTGTGTGCTATGCTTGTAAATAGAAAAGTTTAGGTGTTAAATATGCAAATATATAAGAATTGTGTGATATGAATGTAAATGCCTATTTATTTTTTACTATTTTCAATGCACAAGGTTTCAGCATAGCGTGGTGTGGGGTGGATTTATGTAGTTTCACTATTATTTAGCAAATAGTTTGTTCTACGATTCATGTAATTCGTTATGTTTCAACAATTTGTACGATATTTTTTAAAGTTTTGATTTTGTTAAAATTACTTTTATGTACAGGAGGTGGAGGCTACATTGAAGTTTAAGATACATAACCCAGTTTTTCATCGAGTTCGGGATGTCGCCCCCAATAAGGTATTGTTATTAAGATTTTGTTTTGGCCATATTTTTTTTGTTCTAAAGAATGCTTTAGAAAAGTAGGCTCAACTTTTTTTCACAAGCCAAGTATGAGTGTCTTTTAGTCTGTAGTTAACTTCTTCACTCATGTAGCATTTATTGTTGTTTAGGAAGATTACATACATACCACTCAATTCCTATGTATTTATACGTACCACCTTATTGTTGCATGAAATAGTGTATTTGGCTTTTTAAAAGTTAAAATGTGGCATTTTTTATATGATATGAATGTTTTGGGTGGTATAAGCATAAAAAGTAAAATTTAGGTGTTAGATATGTAAATACATAGGAAATGGGTGGTATTTATGTAACTACCCCTAATTTTTATTTCTTGTTAGTTTGGATGTTCTATGCTAAAACGAGAGTAAATAACCTGATCACGGTTGGTGTTTCCGTGACCTTCCAAAAGTGATTTTCAGTAGTTCAAACTCTTCGATAAAATAATCATGTGAAAATTGAAAATTTTGGAAGGGGTTAGCCTGTTGCTTCAAATATTTTGTTTCATTTTTTGTTATAAATTATGAAAAATAACATCATCATAACCTTATTTATAGAAGCATGCTTCACAATTTAAATTCCAATTTATTCCTATAATGTAGTCCAAATTCAAGAAGTTTCCATCGTCTAATTTATACTCGTACAAAATTACTGTTTAGTCGCTAATCCTTTCTAAGTTGCAAAATTTTTTATATTGCTAAATCTTTTGCTGTGATTTAATCTTTAATAATGTGTTCTACCTTGCTAGTTTGTGCTGTTATGAAAGATGGAACACAAGGACATTTGTTTAATTTTCCGAGGTAGATATTCCATCTAAATTATACTATTTTTTGAACAAAAGGGTCGGTGGTGCTTCGATATAGTATTAGATTTTCAATGTTAAATATAGAAATGTGATTAAATTCTTGAGAAAAGTCAATAATATAATATTTGATAGAGAACTCGCTGAATTCTCTTTGCACTCATCAAACCAAGGTCGTATTAGATGGGCCAGCGTTTGTTGTTGGTTTAATGATGACAAAAGCAAAAGTTTATTTGTTGCTCAAGCCTAACATTCGAGCGGGTTTTGAAGGCCAAACTCAACAAGCCTATAGCTGAGTCGCTGACTGTTTTTTTTCACTCATCAAACTAAGACCGCAGTGAAAAGCTCACACTACGTTAGTTCAATGATAATGGTTGCTCCACCTAGGTGTTTCCAAGAAGACTATTCTAAGTGCTCCAAATCAAGGACTTTTTTGGACTGATCTTTGGAATAAAGCAAAATCAAAGGAAATGATCCTTAATTATGAAGATAACAAATAATATTTGATATCATCTTCAACAGGAAGCAGAAGAATGAACCAAATGTGTTGCGTCGTTAATATGTTCATCAGATCACCAAGTGCTAGGCAGATTGATGACCTTTTGTCACTAATCTATATAGGCTCTCTAGAAGACCAAAGAATCTTTGTTATTTTTCAAATCCAAAGCGCAAAGCACATGATGAAGAAGTCATCTAAGTGTTCGTATGAAGCCTAAGAATGAATCAAGGGTGTTACATCGTCAATGTGTCCATTAGACCATTAAATGCTGAGCAGAGTGATGTTCTTTTTGCCACCAAACCTGCATAAGGCCTAGGAGACCAAAAAATATATGTTCAACAAATCCAAAGCACAAATTGCAAGTTTGAAGAAGTCATTTTGATGTTCATATGAGGCATAAGGATGAACTAAAAACATTATTTCATCAATGCGTCCATCAGACAATTTAGTGTTAGCATGTCGATGACTTTTTTACCATCAAGCTAATATAAACCTCGAAGGTGAGCTCATTAGCGTGCGTCCTTCGTCAAGCTCATTAAAGCGAAAAAGCAAAGAGTAGAAGACACTCAATCTCCTTGACAAATCAATGGAGATAAATCTACTGTACTCGTTCATCGCTCTTGTCGAAGCAGAAAACAAACGACAAAATGACAATTATAATCTCCCTGTTGAATCAATGATTGCAAATCAAGCAATTCAACTAAATGCAATTCGATTCCCTGCCAAGAGCGTATTCTTCTGCCAAAAGCAAGTGTCTAGCTTCAATAAATTATCGAAAGTGCGAAGGCAACATTAACCAAAGATGGATCGATACCTGCACATCAAATTCAATCCAAACATTGTATCAACATCCATTAGCCCTCTTGGAAATCCACAAATTGAATCCCTCATTGTGACATTTGAATTACTTTTTTGGGGATTCACATGGTCATCAGTTTGCAACAAACATGGTCCAATTTAGGCTCGTGCTATATTTATTTGGCGGGAGGGTGCATTTGTTGACCCCAATATGTTTTCCATACGTCAAGCTGATTGGGTTTGTCGATAATATATCATTCCCTATTATGTGTGTTTCGTGCCTCATTTGTATGAACTTCGTCCACATAAATATGTTTCGTCGAACCATCATTTTGTAAAACAGACTGGGTGCGTGCTTGGATCGTCGAGATGTTTCAAACGCGCATAATTACGTTAGAATCTGGCTTCGTTTGGTGTGCATCGAGACCTCATGCACTTAAATTTTTGCCCACTGATAAATTGTTAATTGGGGCATCATTTTATAAAACAGACTGCACAAGTGCATTCAGGTCGTCGGGAGGATTCAAACAAACATATTTATGGCTGAATTTGGCTTCGTTTAATGCACGTCTAGGGTTTAAATGATCATGTTATTTAAATATTATATAAATTTAATATATATTTATATATTAACGTTGATATATATTTATTTATTTATATATTAATATTATATTTTATTTAAATTTTAAAATTGAATATCTCTACTTAATTTTTACTTTAATTAGCTATCAATTAGGCACACATTTATTCGTGGCATAGTGATTGAGGTTGTAATCTCCCAACATGAGGTCATGGGTTCAAATCGCGTATAATGCCCTATAGACTCACCTTTCTCAAAAAAGGTATTAAATAGGCCACGTTATTATAATTAAATCCATTTTATTTTCTTTCCAAATGTATTGCCTGAATTTAGGAAGAATTCATGCCTCCATTCAAGTTTGTTCTAGGTGATCCAAGAAAATCAGAAAAAAATAAAATTATAGGGGATGTTGGCTGCTCTTTTGAGCTTCTGTGCTAAAAAAATGCCCAATAATTCTCTCTCTTGATGAGGAAACTAAAGCTTCTTATCTCGTCCCCCTTAGCTCCACCGCCAGCGACTCTCTAACCTCTCTGCTCTCTCTCTCTTTGTTCTACGTCCTTCTCTAGGTCACGCATGTAACAAAACCTCTCACACATCTCTTTTCTCACGACAGAATCTCACCTCCCTCTCCTCTCCTCTCCTGCCAAAGTGCTCTCTTGTTGGCATGATACCATCTCCCGCGCTCCACTGTTGATATCGTCTGTACCCTTACTGGGAACACTGAAAACCACCACCCAACCTTCCCGAGACCCTCTCACATGAAATCCCAAGCTCTGCTGCCCCTCACTCGCATTGTTGCACTCTCTTGCCAACAGTCACTCTCCGACCACCCTCCAGAAAACTTGTCATTCTGCTTTCTCCACCCCATTCTTCTTCTCCCTTCTCTCTCTCGTGTCACTTGGTAAACAGAAAAAAACCAATAAATCCCTCTAAGCTTCCAACCTGCATGCATGCAGCCATTGCCAAAAATCTTCTCCGCCTTCTTTGCCTTCCTTCTCGCCGGCGAAAGTCATATCGCAACCTCTCCCTGTTGTCCTCACTAGCTTCTCCTTCTCTATCCGAGAGAGAGAGAGAGAGAGAGAGAGAGAGAGAGAGAGAGAGAGAGAGAGAGAGAGAGAGTGCTTTGTGCCTCGAAATTCGTGTTTCACCGACATCAGTTACATAAGATATAAAAGAGGCGTTGTTCCTGAACTCTAATATCTCATTAGCGGTGCATTTGTCTCGATGAGAACCTGTACATGCTTTTAAGAGTCTGGTGGGGGAAGCTCATATGCGACATTTGCATTGCAATCTTTTTGCGATGTGTCTGTCATGACGAGCAACCCGTATATCCATTTAAGAGTGTGGTGGGGAAGATTTGTCGATGACGTTCATGATGAGAAGGATATACATATGTGCTCTAATGTGTGCTTGCAGGTACTTCATCCATGCCTTTAAGAGCATGATGGGCTTTGAATATTTTCAACGTGTTGTTGCACGACACAGGCCTTACATGCTTTTAAGAGCATGATGCCTTTATTTGTCCCAACTTTCTCGATGTTGCCCCTCTCGCATGGATGAGGTCAAAAGGCTCTCGAAATGCTGCCAAAATTCACATAATTTATAAATTTTGTTATTTGCTACATACACTGCAGATAACTTATATATGCCTTTAAAGAAATGGTGGTTAGACCCAACTTTTCTAATGTAGCCCCCCCTAATGGAGATGACGTCGAGAGGTTGTCGAAATTTTGCCGAAACTTGACCGAATCAAACTTGAGTTAAGCGAATAAAATAATCTAAAATTGCATTTATTTTAAAAAAAATGTAAAATTGGTCAATGCATTATGAAATTAAAAGAATAAAGTTGATTGATGCTTAACTTAATTTGAATTTATAAAAAAAAAGGGAGTTAAGCGCGCGGGATATGAATACTTCCAAAATGTATAATCAAAGTCTAGAACACCTTCATTCGCTACTGGATCTACGCTATTTTTGTAATAGTGGACAAAATGTGAATTTTTAGATACCTATATGAAATTATTCATACTCAGGGGACTCGACGATTTGATCGAGTTCAAATTAAACCTATAAGAAACTCACTAGCTCACCCAGGATTAGAGACTAAGGCCTTTGTTGCCTTGTTACGACGAATTGAGGAACCTCAATTTGTGGCATTGTTAATTCCTTTGATTTTAGATTGGGAGGTCCCAAGGCAAGTAAGTGAGACAGATGGATATTGAACAAGGCTTTAGTGAATGGAGAGAGAGCAACTATCTCGATTATTCACTGAATGACCATCA